TACCAGGAGTCTCAGACACCAAACTTCACCTGCAGAGAAAATAAACTTCCTTCTCCTCTTCTTTGAGCTGTGGTCTAGATCCTACTTCCAGACTGCTTTCCAGAATATTAACTGTGTCCAAACAAGTTCAAATAAGTGGTGAAAGTCACACTTGCTGCAACAGCTTTTAGTGTAGTCACTTTGCTCAATCAAATAAGATCTGATTAATCTAAAATAGGTCAGAGAAACACAACCCCTCCTTCAAGCACTCCCATTCATTTCTACTATCACTGCAAGGATCATTGAAAGAGCAAGTCAAGCAGAACCAAATAATTAATCAAGGTTTTATATAAGGTTTCAATTTTTATTTTTAAAATGGCTGAGCTGACCTGGCACATTAAACAAACCCAGCAGTACAGTACAAGAGTTATGCCAAGGCAGCATGGGGAGAAGCACATTACCCAGCAGATTTCAAAACTGCAACAGCTTCTGTATTTCCAGCTGGGACACAACACAAAGATATCTACCCACAGCAGAGAGCTGCAGTCAGAAGTCAGTAGGTGCAGAGCAAAAAGCCTTCTTTACAAACACGAGACCAAAGTTGGGTGGCTGCTGACATGATCCCAAAGCAGAGCTGATCTCAAAAAGACAAGACACTGATGCTGCAAGGCAGGAGGGAACAAGCTACTTGTCATCCACAGAAGCCAGTGTTAAATTTGTTTCTGCTGTTTCACACATTCAGGAAATCTCTTCAGTTCCCTGGCACATCAAGGCCATCTCCTCCGTTCTAGCTCCACTTTTCCTTTTCAGCTGAATTTTGTCATTTTTTGTGAACCTCCTGGATTAGCTCCAGCTCTTAAGCACAAGCTGTGACTCAGAGCCATATTGCTGCTCCACTCTCCACTTCCAGCACCTTTTCCCTTCTCAGGCTCCTTTTTGCTCTCCTCCTTCAGAGACGCTGCACCCCTCAGCAGGCTGCTGTGGCACTCCCTGAATTTCCTCAGCAACTGTGTAATTGGAGTTTTAACCTTTGCTTCATCCCACCCTTTGGACCAACTCTCTCTTTCCCACCACTCACTGTAGGCTCCATTCTGGCAGCAAGTCTCTGTCCAGCTCCCATCTGCACTGCAGTTTGTTGCTGTTGGCCATTCCCTGTCAAACCTGGCAGCTGCTTCTCTAAGGTCCCACCTTTGCCACAGTGAGTTGTCTTTAGCAACAAACTATGGGATCCTACAGCATTCATTACACATATGCTCCATCCACTTGGGCTTATGACCCCAAAATACACTTACAGGCTCTCTATTACAGCTGAAATAAGAAGCTGTTAAAAAGTCTTAGGCTGTTATTGGGGAAAGACAAGCAGATAATCATTTCACCTTTAGCAATTTTTACACTGAAGGTGTTGTCATTCACCAGACAAATGGACTATGCCCTTAATTAGGAGTGGCCTTCAAACAAGTATTATTCTTAGAAACTGGTCAGAAGCAATTTTGCTGTCAGCCAAGAAGGGTGGGTTTATTCTAAGAAAGCAAGCACCTACTACAGACTATTGCAATCCTTTCTTGCACAGTACTCTGCTGCAAACGTGCCCTACTTACACCGACCTGCAGTGTTTTGAGACAGATGGATCAGGATACTAACAGACATCTCAGCTAAGCACAGACTTTTATACTGCTCACAATCCTGACCAGGCAACATTCTCAGCACTTTTCAAAACCAACCCCCTGAAAAGGGGCATCAAGTTGGCAACAAAACACTGCAGCAACTCCAGCTGCTTTGCAAAACAGTGGTGTCGATGTGGTGTCTACCCACCAAACCTCTTCTCAAGCCTTTGCCAGATTGTTTAAGTCAAGTAAGTGTCTCCATGGAAACCTCCTTTCTCAAGGAGCCTCCTTTGCCAGAGAAATCCCTGCACCCCTTTTGTTTAAAAGAGGAAGGCAGCTTGGTAGGAGCATAATGCCTGCCTAGAGAAGTGCCTGTAGCAACAAATCAGTCAGATTTATGCTCCTTAAAAACACATCCATTCAATGAAGACATTTCAGGGATGGCTAAAGGTGTGCTGCTGCTGCTGCAGCTAGTTCTGCTGTGCCCTCCACCCCTGTCCTGACTCTTCCCCCTCAGCCTCACAGAATATCCTGAGTTAGAAGGGATCCACAAGGATCACTGAGTCCAACTCCTGGCCCTGAGCAGGACAACTCCAAGAATCCCACCATGTGCCTGAGAGTGTTGTCCAGATAACCTGCCTTCTTCCCACATGGTCTCCATGCCCCTCTCACACACAAACTCTTGGACACAAGTCAAATTGTTTGTTAAAAAAACCTTTAAAAAACCCTAATAGCTAAAGTAATACAAAGAATCAATGCCCATTCTTGAAACATAGGAAAAGTCTTATTGAAGATACCAACTGATGCTCAAATAAGACAATTCTCTGTGTTTAAGAAAAGATGAGTTTTGTCCTTTCCCTCCACCAAGACTGCAGGAATGAAATTATTTCTGGTATAAGATTGCTTGAGATCCCCCAAAAAGGAAATCAGCTTTCTGGAAGGACAGTCAAAACAACTGAATATTTCATGTTCTAATATGGAAGAGAGAACTTTAATATTAGCAGGCAAATTAATAATTAAGAGCTGTGATTAAAAATGGTTTCAACTCTAGAATAAGAGAAAGTTAGGGGGGAAAAAGGCACCAAGAAGCTGTCAAGTTCTAGTCACTTTCAAGTAACAGCAGGGACAAGACATTCTCCGAAAATAAGCCCTGGAGATTAAATTTTAAGTGAGAAAGTCACTATTTAAGAGCCCTCTCTAGACAGGAGTGTGCTGCAGACAGGAAGGGCTCTTCAAGAGCCAGCAGAGGTGCTGATGCTGGGCGACTCACACATGAAAGGAGAGGGGAGGAAAGGATGCATTTCAGAACAACTAGAACAAAATAAACCCATTCTCTTAAGATTAGGCTAATTACCATTTTTTAAAAAAGACTTTGAAAGATTTTCTGAGAGCCTAAACCCACAATGTGTCTGGTAACTAGAAACTAGGTCCAGGCACACTGCAGCAATCGCCTCTTTTTCCCACTCACCCAACATGAGTGGGGACAAAACAGCCTGGGACACGGTGACACACAAGCATGGGCACAGTCTTGCAGCTTTCCCAGCAGAAAGAAAGACCTTTGGCAACACCCCTCTCCAGCAGCCAGCAGAAACCAGGCATGACTGAGTCCATGTGGAAGTCAACTAGACAGAAGCACATTGTAAGATGAGGGATAAACAGTCACTGCTGATCTCTTTTCATTATGCAATAGAGGATCCAGAAGAGTAACTTAAAACACATAAAAATAACCTTTTCTATCTTTTTGGGGAAGTTTAGCAGAAATCTTGCTGCAGGAAAATAAACTCCCGTGCAAGCTCACAGAGAGGGCACATCTGCATTAAGGTTTTCATCTCAATGAGATGCAGAGAAGGGAGTGGGGAAGGGAATCAAAGAGAAGTCAAAGACATTAAACACATTGTGGATCAAATTGAACCCTGGGCTGCCTGAAAAATAGTCAACTGCCAAATCTGCCAGTCAAATGAGATTTTAGATCAAGAGAGATCTAGTAATTCTAATTCTATTCCTCCCACATATGCCATCCTGAGTCTTCCAGAGGGAATACAAAGTCCTTTTCAAAGGGAATTATTCAAGCATAGTGGCCTTCCATTCCACAATCTCCATCTAAGCTCCAAGCAGATGAGTTCATCAATAGATCATATCCCTTTCCAGGTTGGCAGCTCTGCTGTTTTGCCCAAGGAATTCATCCTTGGATACAAGCTTTGTGAGAGGAAACTTAACAATACTGGAGATGAAATATACACACACAAAGGGAGAGAGGCTGCAAACTGGGAGAACAGACTTCACCCCTCAGCCTTCTGTCAAACAGTGACTGCCCTGGAGCACAAAGGATAGAAGAAGGCCCCTCAGAAGCAAAAGAACTCACACAGTACCTACACCCAGCAAAGCTAGTGTAATAGCTGTCATGGACTATGGGGCTAAACCAGAAAAATATATTTAATTAAAGCCCAGGTCCAGGGAGGAAAGGGCTGAGCCAGCAGCAGGTCTCAGCATGAAGGAATGAATTTCTGTCCAACAGAACGATAAGAGGTTACTCCAGAATAGGTTTAAACTCACCCCATATGTGACCAAAGCAGTACAGAGAAAGCAGCTCCCACAGTTACAATAAACATTTTTTGTATGGTTTTTACTATGTGTAAAGTAGCCCTTGGGAGCCACTTGCTATCCCAGGACTGTAGAAGAAGAGGTAAAAAACAAGGTTAAATTACTTCATCCAACACATCCAAGTACCTGGTGACCATATAAGCAATGACAGACTTGTCTGGTGACAGTGAATTCTCCAGTTCTCCTCTATCCCAAAGTTAAGAAACGCAGCAGTCACTTTATTAAAAAATCAGTATACAGTTTCACATCAGCCCAGTGTTTACAACCAGTCCCTCTTCTAGTAGTTCCAGATTTCCTGTTGTTTGTTACAGACTATGGGCAACCCAAGGAATCAGTAGCACAAAGAAACCATCATTTCAAAAAATTTGTGTCCCCACATCTCCACAGAGAAAGCAGCATTCATCATCAGTTTGTTTTCCATTGGACTTGCTCTAAGAAACAAGAGTTTTCAATATATTTTGCGGGCAAATCTTGTCTTTACAATAGTAACCGCTCTGTTTGTTAATCACACAGGGCAGCATCTCTAAAAAGCCTCACAGCGCTGATAAAACAACCCTAAAAGAGCTCTCTGTCATTTTCTTCCTGTGATTTATTTCCTAGAACAACAAAAATTATTTGAGATTTGTTTAACTAGTAGAGTTGCCACTAAAGGGGGACAGGGGAGTAGGGGGCAGTTCACACCATTTGGCAAAGAGATCATCCATGAACTGAGTTCTTCAATGGCTGCAGGAAGCACACAGAGGCTTTGTCCATGCTTCCTCCAAGTATCCAGCAGTGCTGCAGGAGGGATGCACCTTCACCCCCTTGTTCCCCTCTCAGCTGACAGCTGTTCACAGTGCTGCTGCCTGCTTCCTTCCCTCCTTGAGTCATCCAAAGCACAGAGCAGCCTCCATGGTGTAACAGCAGCTTGGCAGAAGCAGGCAAAGTGCAGCCAGCAAAAGATTTAATTTAATAAGATAAACATGGTGTAAGGCTCCACATTATTTTTAAAAATAAACACCATAAGAAATATGAAAATGAACTGGCTTCACTACGTGTAGGTCAGGTTCAGACGCTCTCAGAAAGATCTTCTCACCCATACAAAATGTTCTTCCCCTCTTGTCCCCATCACGAGGATGGAGGGACAGTTCACCATGTAAGATCAGCCATGTCCTGTTGTGTGCCCTTCCACATACAGTGAATGATGCCTCTGCCACCCTCCAGGGCAAGTCAAGGTTTTAACAACACGCCTGTGAAGAAGGAGCAGAAGGGGAGAAGGGCAAGTAATTCAGTCTCTGAAATGAACATCTGAAAGTCTTGACATGATGACTGTGTTGACTTCACCACTCTAATGGTTGTTCTTGGCTGCCTCTTTAGCTGCAACAATCAGAGGAGTGAGACTGGATAGAGGCTTTGCAATTTTCAAGAACTGGTGCTAGGACAAAACAAAAGGAAAATGATTAGATTTTTCAGAATATGCCCCAGAAGTGGCTATTCCAAGCATTTTCACCTAAACCCATATGAAATCTAAGAACCTACTCTAGTCTCTGAATACATCAATCCAGAAGCTCTGGATTCTATGACAAAATTTTGGGGATTGCCTGAAGTGATGAAGAGATTTGCACCCAACACATGCTAAATTATCCAATGTTTGCATATGTTCAAGATCGAGCAAAACTAAGCAAATTCCCCTGGGGAACTATAAAGTTGCAAAACCTATAGTGAAATCCAGTGTGAAAGAAGGTGTACCAAAATCAGCCCATGGGTTTCAGACACAAGGGACAGGGCTCCATGCAGGAATCACCTCTAATTTCCCTGTTCCCTGTTGCCACAGGTCTGGAGAAAGCATTGCCTTGGCCTTCTACCAGATATCACAAATTTGCAAAGCAGCTGAAATTTGGGAGAGCAGCACAGAGCTTGCAACACAGCACCATTCAGTCTCCTATATAGGTGCTCTTCTTTAAATAAAACAATATTGATTATCAAAACAGCTCTCAAGTGACAGAAGGGCAAGTCCACAAGCTGTTCTGAAAACAAAAAGTAACAATAATCCACAAGACTTTTGAGCATCAGAAGGAATCAATCATCCAAGGCAACATGCTTCAGAGATGGAAAAAAATAAAAAGTAAAAATTCCATGGCCACAAGGCAGTTAATAACAGGCTGAAGTGTTACAGTCAGAATGTTCTCCTGCTCTGAGGAACAGAACATAACTTCTTTCTGATATTTTAGGACTGAAAAGTCCAGAAGAAAAAATGATCTTTCAGCTACTACCATATTGTCAGACGTTTATGCTTCATTATAGTTACAGAAGGCAGCAACACATCCAAGCCACTACACAAATTAGTAGAGAGAAAGGAAAACGAAATGGAAACTGTCTGATACTTAAGGTCTGAGTGTTCCCGATGACAGATCTATTCTATAAATCTAAAAAACTTACATATTTTACCCTCATGGCAAATTTGACAGAAAGAATGGACAAAACACTCCTCTCATCCATGTTGATAAAAATCCTGGCAGCTTGGTCCTCAACTTTCACTGTGAGTTCAGACTGACGCCAGGTTTTCAGTGAAATATCTGATTATGGGGTGGTGAGGCACTGGCACAGGTTGCCCAGAGAAGCTGTGGATACCCCATCCCTGAAACTGTACAAGACCAGGTGGGATGGGGCTTTGAGCAGCCTGGTCTAGTGGGAGGTGTCCCTGCCCATGGCTGGGGAAGTGGAACCGGAGGATCTTTAAGGTTCCTTCCAATCCAAGCCATTCTATAATTAAGATATCTCACAAGATTTGTTCCATCATCTCTCTAAGGAGTAATATCAGGCAAAATGTGGTAAAAGTGAACTGCTCTAGTTAACTGAAGCCATGAATATTTCAAAGAGCTTAGTGATCCCTCCTCCCCAAAGGAGACAGCCAGAATATCTGATAGCTAGAAGCTTTCCTGCTGTCCAAATTGGAACAAGCATGACAAGACAACACACACAGATGTCATGGCCAGCCACATGAAGAAACCACGGGAGTTGGGGGGCTCAGCATCTGGCATGCCTGGGACACAGCTATTGTTTGAGTTTGGACACAGAACACGCTGCACAGCTGCTGCCAGTAGCCAGTACTGGAAAGGGAGCAGTCTGTTATCACTTTATTATAGATTTTTCTTTGAGGGCTGTGGTTTTCAGTTGCCTTTTTCCCCTGAGAGGCAACCTTACCTTTGTGCTTTCAGCTGATGCAGTCTTAAAGACCTCAAACAAGATCTCACCCCTAAGCCTGGCCTCACTCAGGATTCTGTGATTATATTGTTCCCCATCACATACCTGTAGCAGCTCTTTTGCAGAGCCTCTCTTTTCCACGTCCATTTCAAGACAGCGATTTAAGAAGTCTCGGAATATGGGTGAAAGCTTTTCTGGATTCTGCAGTTCTGGAGTCCCGTTAGTAGCAATGAGATACAGGGCCTGAGACAAAAACAAGCACCCAGGAAACAGGAGGTTATGAAGATTAGATTCAATCTCTGGATTAGAGACACCCATTTCTCCTCTCCCTCCCCACAGTTCAATAGGGTGGAAAAAACCCCACCTTATCAGGGTCACTAATCAATGCCAACATTTCAGCAAACAGAATAGCTGTGCCAGCCCTATTTTTTTGTGGATGAGATCCAATCCTTTATTGTTTTACCCTTGTAATCTGGGTTGGGATCCTGCAGCCCTCTCTTGAGATTACAAGGACAAAACCAACATTCCAGACCCTGTTTACATAGGGAAGTTAACTGGCACGACTCTATCACTACTCCTGTAATGATTATATCCTCATGGGAAGGTAACCCTGACTAAATAGATTTTTTTCTGCTGGTACTCTGCCTGAGTGCACAAGGCCTAAAACATCAACATTATAAAGATGCAGCTGGCTCCTCACAAAGGATGTCCAGCAGACCTTGGGCATCTTTCCTGCACGAAAAAAGCAGTTTTGCTACTGCTTGGGGATAAAGCATTCACATACATCCTCCTCTGAGAATCGAGAGACTCAAAATTCATCTATTTCAGGATTTCATGTGAGAAACTTCCTGGATTAATTTTCAAAAGAAACAGAAATCTGTCAGAGACTTGTTAATATACAGGCTTTTTGAGCACATCACTCAACACATCCCATGGGAACAGTCTGGTAGCCTGGGAATCGGCATAAATTGAGTTAAATGAAGCCAAAGTATTGTTACTTTAACTCAGCACTGTTTTATTCCTTATAGTCTTCTTGACTGCTACACTTCTGTCCCAAAAATCCCCTCCAATGCAAGAGATGGGAAAAAAAAGTTAAACAGAATTTTTCTAGATCCCTCCAACCCGTGTAACGAGTGAAAAAGCCATAAACCTGGCTTATATTAAGAGCAGTGATGTCCCTACACGCTGACAGCATACCTCCTTTTGTTAATAATTAAACAAAGGAAAGACATCAGGAGGCTTAAGCCCTGTCTAAAGGCTTATTACACTTTGAATTTCACTTGGAGCATGCAAGGAGGAAAAATTTGCCCGTAGGAAAAAGCTCCTACTAGAATAGAACTGAATAGAATCACAGAAACATAGAATGCTTTTGGCTGAAAGATCACCTAGTTCCAATACCTCTGCCATGGGCAGGAAACCTTCCACTACACCAGGTTTCTTAGAGGAGAATTCTCTCATTGCCAGGGTAGAAAGTTTGAAGACATGACTGCATTGTTGCCTTAAGGTAGAACTTCTGCCTCTATTAGCATCCCAGAAAGCAGGTAATTATGAGTGTGCATGATCTAACTCATAGAAGAACCCACACCTCTGCTACCCAGAGCAAACCATGGCTTTTTAGTAAGACTATCTCAGTTTTCTCACTATGACATGTAAGGAGGCCACAGGATCATTTGAGTTAAGACAGGGCAGGAGGTGATGAAACCACACCAGAGGATTCACATGAGCTCAGCTCCACCAGCAGCTTAGTGAAGACCTGAGGAGAAAAGCACTCTCTTACTCTCAGAGGGTTCTCATTGAGGTAGGGGGGCTCTCCTTCGATCATCTCGATGGCCATGATCCCCAAAGACCAGATATCCACCTTGGGTCCGTAAGCTTTCCGCGTCACCACTTCCGGGGCCATCCAGTACGGCGTGCCCACCATGGTGCTGCGCTTGCTCTGCTCAGGAGTGATCTGGGCACAGAAGCCAAAGTCAGCTGCAAAATTAAAACAGGGTGGAGGGAAAAGACATAGGAATCAGCGAGTTTCTCCAAAAACAACCCTTACAGACACCAGAGCTACAGTACGCTTCACCCTGCTGCACGGTCTGGTGTGCTGTTGCTCCAGCTGTGACAGGAGCAGTGGTTTTGTGCCTAACACAGAGGATGGTGTTTAGAGCTAAGTTTCTAAACCTGGTTCTCTGAGGCCATGAGGATTCTAGAGCTGCTGATTTGTCTGTGTGAAAGATGGGGATGAGGAAATAACCACACACAGAAGTTAAGACACTCACCTGTGTTGCAGCATTACACAGATGTTACACACTATGTAATATATGGTCTAAAGACCCTTCCTGGGTATGTGAAAACAGGAATTAATGCAAGACTGAACTAGATACACCCCCCCCAACCACAGGCTGCACTGTCTGGTGATATTTTCAGTCCATGGGTATTACTTCCCCTGTAGACATATCATCCCTCAAGAAGCATTTATTTTATAGAGCAAAGAGTGTTCGCAATAAATTAAAGGACCTAAATTTATTTTGATTATTTTCTTTGAACAGAGGCAAAGATGGAGGGCATTCATACAAAGATTGCTGCGCCCTATGCTTTATTTGTATTTGGCTCACCAGAAGAAAATTAAATCTGTTCTTGTGAGCCCAGCAGAATCAACACAGCAAGATGCACTGCCCATCCTGACCCCCTGTGGCATCACAGGTCTAATTTTAGGGAGAATTATGAAAATTAAACTGATTCCTAGCTGAGTTTTCATCAAGGGTAAATACCAGGAAAGGACATATGGTTCATAAACAGGGCAAATTTCCAGCAGAGCCAACAAGCAGCTCAGATCCAGAAGGTTACTGCATCATATCCACAGGGATTTCTCTAACTTTAAACTACAGCCTGGCACCAGCACACTGTGCTTAAAGAAGCTATTCCATAAGAGTAGAGCACTTTGGCCCCCGTCAGTTATTAATTGCTAATGCTCCTGAGACCTGGCTCTATCAAAGTTCAGCTTTAGTTTAAAAAGCAATTATGTGCAAAAAAACCCCACCTTACTCAGCATATCTGCACTCTGTGAATTTTGAGTCATATCTGCTGTTGCTGCCGACAAAAATAGATTTATTTATGCCTGTTGGGTGCTAGCCAACAGAACTGAGAGGAAGAAAAAGGGAGCACCATTCTGTTAAAGCTAGAGGTGGAAGATAATAATTCACTGGTTTCCAGGGTTATTTCTGCATGGACAGAGCACAAAACTACCTTAGCACCCGACAGGCAGAACAGTCCCAAGATTTTCATTACTAGCAATACCACAAGGAGGGAACAACATTTAGGCTCCAGTCTGGGTTGGCATTGTAAGATTAAATGATTTCTAGTTACACAGTTTTCAATTCTCCCTCCACTTCCCCAGGCCCTTGAGTACCTGCAGTATTTTCCAGACTGAAGAGGTTGTTCATAAATACAGACTTCTAGCCTTACACCTTCCAACCCAGCTTTCTGGACTGGAGTAGCATTAAAATACTGTTATTTTAGTTCACATAAACAGGTGGCCCAAAGATAAGCGAAGCCCGAGCCTCACTTCAAGTCTGGTATCAGTTCACAAGGATTTGTGTTTGCCAATCTCCATTACAACAAATGCCACAGAAATATCTACAGTAGCATTTCTACAGCCTGTTCCTCATGACAGCATCAAGCACCTCAAACACCCATCTCCCTAAAATGCCTGGCCCAGAGCAGATAACTGGCACGGGTTGATAAATCATCAGCAGTAATGTTCCCTGCATACTTAGTTTGACAGAGCCATCCATTCCCAGCAGGATGTTGTCACTCTTGATGTCCCTGTGAATAACTTGGTTTGAATGGAGGAATTCCAGGGCTTGGAGACACTGAAAAATAATTGAGATATTCTTACTGTGCATGAAATGATTCACCAGTCACAATTAGCCAAGTGAAGAACTCAAACAGACTGTGCATTTTTGGTAGTAAGTGTTAGGACCTTTCATATATTCAGTATGTGCAGGGCCACAGAGAGATGTCACACTGGGATCAGCAGATCCTAGGAGGACAAGTTAGTCCCAAAAGACTTGAAGAACAGTTAGTCCCAAAAGAACTTGAAGAACAAAACCAAGAGGATCCCACCCCCATTTCCCACTCTAGTTCCTGCCGCTGGGGTGAAACATGAGGCTTGCACTAGCATTGTATGCTGCATCCTCCCAGGTGAAATCCACCCACTGAAAGGATGACTGTCACGTTACAGAAGCTGGAAGCCTTTCCATGGAGTCAGTGAGAGGTTGTGGGAAGTCCATGTCCCATTCCCAAGCAGAGGTCCCTCCGAGTGCTGCCTCACCTCCCGGCACACGGCGGCGATTTGTCCCTCGTCCATGCAGGTCTCCGTCACGACGTCGGTCAGGGAGCCTCCTGCCAAGTACTCCATCACCACCCAGAGCTCTTCTCCTACAAGGTAACTGAAGAGCCCAAGCCAGATTTTAAAATCAGAATGCACAGGGTTGTAAAGCTCTCTCACAAGTGAAATAAAAACAAGAGCTGCTATTAACAGTATTGGGGAACCACATACTCCTGGTACTTTCTGTGCATGGGAGCATCTGATCATAACCTGAATGACCAAAGAGAAGGGTGAGTGCAGAATGATGAGGAGAGATGTAGTGGGAGAGCTGGCTACAAGTTTCCTGTCCATAAAAGCAAGGCTGAGTATTTCTGCCATGGAAAGGATGCAGACCTGACTTTAATCACTGCTCCTGCTGCTGGGAGAGAAGGCAAAGAGCTGCTACTCAAGGATGGGGCCCAAGCATGCAACCCCGCTATTTGGCACACAGCAGTGGCTCTTGCACTGGAAGAGGTGGCTGAGGCATCCTGCTGTCCTAAGCAACTGACTGCTTTGCCTCAGCCCAGGGACAGTTCTGGGCTGTGACTCAAAAGATGCTTACCCACAACCAATCACGACAGAGCACTTCATTTTTAAGCATCGTACAATTGAAAATCATCTCAATCTTTTCCACATTATCAAACTAGTTTGTGGCTTGGTCTGAAAATTTCAGAACCATTCATAAAGGCAAAAGAGTACACCTTATTGGACAAAACAGCAGTTCTAAAGACTTAAATAAAGGAAACCCCCAAAAGGTAGGTCTTTTCTGAAAAAGGAAGATGGGGAGGAGACAGCTGAGATGAGAGAGGCTTTTCTCAGTCACTTGGGATATTCCTCTCTCCTGAGTGTGTGTGTACCCATGTTTAAAAGTGGAAGACAGGATGAAGACTTCAGCAATAACTCATTAAAAACAAAAAGAATTAAAAAACCAAACCAAGCAAACAAACAACAACAAAAAAAGAAAACACAGAAAAAACAAACAAATAAAAAACCCCACCAACTATTTTTGCCCTTTTTTGGACCCATCAACACAGACTTCCATGACCAATAAATACATCAGGATGACACATTCCTGAAGGAAGGAATCATCAGTATGAAAACCCACCTTTTCAGCCTATCCTCTCATTTTTCAAGTGAGTGGACAGATGAGTCAAAAGTGAGAGGACAGAATCTAATTAAAAGCTTCATCTGGCTTAGAGTTCATCAAGGACACATTTGCTTAGCTATAAAACACTGATCCTCCTGAGGAATGGATTTGGCAGGAGCCAAATGCAAAAGCTGGGATAGGTACTAGGGAACAACTAGGTAGAAAGCAACAGTAAAGGAGAAAGAAGCCATTAAGCTTGGCATGGAAAGCAGACAGAGATAAGAGACATCACAGGAGTGAGCAAGGTGTGGTATCTACCCCCAAAGGACACACTGACAACACTAAGCTTATGAAAAAAATCCTCCTAAATAGTAATAATGGCCTGAGCTACACCTGGATGACAGCAGTGTTATAGTTATGGCTTTTAATTATAGTTATATAGTTATAGCTTTTAATTCCGGAGACAAAGTGGGTTGGGTGTCTTGGCTTGCTGATGCTGAGGACTATGTAGGAAGGTGCCATCTGCAGATTCTTCCAGGATACAAAGCCCAAGGGCACAGGGCTGTGCTCCTGCAGCAGAGTGGTCTCAAACTCCACTATGGAACAGAAGCTGATGCACTGGCATTTTGTTTTCCCAGCATTACAGACCCCAGCAATGGCAGTACCACATGCAGAGCAGCCCCTCTGAGTGAGAGAGGAGCAGCAAGACTGCTTTCAGAAGCATTCTGCTAACTCTGTGGGTCATTTACTTTCTGTTGGGCTCTGAAAGCCCAACTCCATCCACATTCTTCCTTCCTGCCCCTATGCCATAGCTACTTCTTCACTTCTGCCAAATCAGGCTCTCTGCAGATTTTATCAGCACCCTCTCAACACATCACCCACCATGGACATCACAAGGTTTCCCTTTACTGCCAGTAGCACTCTCTGCAGCTCAAATGCACTTGACTGTAAGAATGGGCTCTTTGCATGACAATCTCAGGTTCCACATGCTGGGAGCAAGCTGGTATCTCTCTGCAGCCAAAACAGATGGAGCGAGCCAAGAACCACACTGTGAAACCAAAGCTGAGCCATGAGCAGCCACAAACATGTGCCAAGATCCTGGCAACTCAATAATTGATAGATTTGACATAACACACAGGGAGGGGAACTTAACAGTGGCTCCCTGTCAGCTGCCACCAAAGGAATGTCATTCCAGGGTGCTACTGTCTCAGGGATCTTTCCACTCTCCTGCCAGTCTTAGTCACTGAGCTGCCCACTGCAGGCATGACTCAAACCCACTCTCTCAGCAGTTCTAGAGACACCACCAGGAAGCCCATACACCTACACACTGCTGTGATGTGACATCAGGCACAGCATGGTGTCACATATTGTCACCCACAGTCACCTTCCAGAGCAAGCTGGCTGTAAGAAAAACCTGATGAAAAATCTGTGAGGAAATCTACAGCTTTCTCGTCATCAATCTGCAAGAGCAGGTAACATCTGATCCCGTAAGGTGTTCCTCAGCCTCCACTTAGATACCTTAGGAAGCTCTTCACCAAGCCCTCTCCATCACAAATACACATTCTTTATTGATGAAATTGATGGAATTTGGAGCTGCCCAGAAGTGCAAGTTCATTCATTACAGAATTTTGCATGAGTAACCTGCCTCCAACATGCAAACATGAACGTAGCCTGGAAAGAAATCAGTGTGTTCTTGTAGCATGACTGTCTCACATCTTCAGCTTTATTCACTGACCATCCATCCATCCTTACTACAGTTTGGGGTTGGGGTAAAGAAGGCTACCACTTATTTGGGGGTTTATTAAGTTAAGGAGTTGTTCAGAACAAAACTAAAGGGCAGGAGTTTGCTTTGACTAGCATTGGGCATCTGATGCCTGTGTTTAGATGGCTGAGTTTAGAAGCAGGGCTCTGAGGGCCTCTTTCTGGCACCTCCAGCAGGTAACTCAGCACAAGTGGCTGTTTGTCTGTACAGAAGACTGATGTCACTGTCCTCAGAGCCAGATGCTTCTAAATCCAGCTCCTAAGTACAGCTGAAATAGGCCATGTCACTGTCCTAAATATCAGAGCACACCTTTGTGCAACGCTGGCCACTACAGCTGCAGTAGAAAAGCTGCTCAACCACAAGCAAGTAGGCCAGGCAGTTAACAGAGGACAAAGCACAGGAAACCCTTGCATAAGGGCAGGGGCTGAGAGAGCTGGTTTATGCCAATAACTACCTTGCAGCTGCCATTAGGGACTCAGAAGGGCAGATACTGTAACAGAACCACAAAGCAGAAACCAGGCTTGCAGTGATCAGCACATCCTTCCTCCATCTCCTTTAGCAGGAGGCAGAAGCCAGCAAGTGCCATCCAAATATCAGCACTTGGGAAACACAGACACATTTAGGCTGGAAAAGAGGGACATAGCTCCCCAGCAACAGAATCCTGCAGTTGCAGAGCTGAAGTGGCATAAGAGGCATAAGGAGCCCCATGTTCATTCCAGTTGCTGTACTGTCCATGTGCAGCACTCAAACAAAAGCTAATCCCTCTGAAAAAGATTAGTGAAAGTGGAGGACAAAAGCAGCAGCTTTTGTTGCCTAAAGTTTGAACAAGACAGCAGGACATGGAGCTATCCTGCAGCTGGGATGCACTGGCTAGACAAGGAAGTGAACGTACACAGCGATGCTCTCTAATGGGAAGAGCCTGACTCTCAAACAGTTTTGTCAAAACAAAGCCTCTAATGAGCCAGAGGAAAATAACAGTTCTAGCCCAGCTGCAATTCATTACCACTTGTTTCATTTTACACTGGTAACATTCTTGTCCTCTGTCTAGGAAGAGGGTGTGTGCCCAGCATCAGATCCCTGCACACACACCTCTCATAAAAATTTCAGGAGCAGACTTTCTGTCTCCTCAACAAAGTAGTTCTTTACAGCTCTGTATGGGACACAGCACCACAAAAATTCAGCAAATCAACTGCTGCAGTTTGTAAGTACTACCTCTTTTGGCTAAGACAATAAAAGCCTGCAAAAGAAACCTATTAAAGAAACAGCTGATTAGATTTTGATATACACACAGAGCAAAAAAGTGTGCAAATCCTCTCTCAAATTTCCAGAGATTCTAGGTCACATCCCTTTTTTCTATCTTCCAAAAAATGCAAGGTGCTGAGATTAAAGTCTGCAGCCCACCTTACCCAAGCAGTCTTTACCCTTACAATAAGGCAAACCTGTGGTTCACATCAGAACTGCTACATTCACATGTGGAGTGCAGCACTGAAAATCTTGCTGCAGCTCAACTGGAACTAGCTAGAATTTGAACAAGTGACTGATACAGGCTTGACACAAGGCAGCACTGTGATGTTGATGGTGAATTCAAGCCACCATTAAATGCTTTTGCCTGCTGGGCTTCTAGCATCATGGAATGATAGAATGCTTTGGGTTCAAAGGGACCTTAAAGGCCACCTAGTTCCAAACCTGGAACCATGGGCAGGGACATCTTCCATTACACCAGGCTGCTCAGAGCCCCATCTAACCTGGCCTTTAACACTGCCAGGGCAGCTACATCTTCTCTGGGCAGCCTGTGCCAGTGCCTCACCATCCTCACAGGGAAGAATTTCTTCATTATACCTAACCTAAATCTACCTTCTTTTGTATGAAAACTGTTCCCTCTTGTTCTATCACTGTCTGCCTTAAAAGTCACTCTCCCTCTTCTTAAAAGTCCCCTAAAGTACTGCAAAGCTGTGTTGAGGTCTCCCCAGCCCTCATGTTATGTGTCACATGCCATTCACCCTCACTGCTATCATGCTACTGTGCACAAACCTCAGTGGACAGTCACAGGGACAGCACTGCATCTAACCCTGCAAGCAGTCTGCTCCTCTGGCAGCAGAACACCAGCATTGCTCAGTGGAGAAGAGAAGAAGAAAGCAAATAGAAATAATACATTTCAAACTGTTTCTACTTCTTCTTTAGTAACAGGAAGGAAATAAGCAGCAAGTTTGTTGTGTCAAATTTGGCAAAGGAGAGAGATGAAAAATGAAGTCCTGACAGGACCTTAGTTGCCAGCATCTCTCAAGAGAGCCTAGACATCCCATTAACACTGGTTCAGATACCGGTTTTTTCTCATTCTGGAGAGAGACTGCCAGGCCACCCACACTGCCACAATGCTTTAAGCAGTGCAAGGTTGTCCTACACCTGCATTAAGCTGAGCCAGGAACCCTTAAGACACTGACAAGAAAGTGTTTTCCAGTGTCCCTCTGTGAGCCCTGCAAATACTGACATACCTGTCCAAGTAGTTGACAATGTTGGAGTTTTTGTTTTCCCTCATCACAAGGATCTCATTAATAATCAGTTCTTTTTTGGGCTGCTGCTGCAAATTCATCTGTTTGATTGCAACCTGCAGTGAAAAGAGATCAAGTAAAGCATTATTGCAGGAGTCCCCAGAAACTTGCCAGTACCAATCAATTTAGTCCCACATCCACATGAGGGAGGAAAAACACCTTTGGATCATGAGGTCACGGTTTCATCATCAGCTACTGAATTACCATTCCATAACTCTGCAGGTTCCTGCAGCCAGTCCATTTCCACTTGTGCTGGATGATACTTAATGAAAAAAAGAACAAGGGGAATTGCCATTTTCATACTGGACTTTAGTGTCACAGCTGGATAGCCACCTCCCATCTACAGTTTCTTGGTAACAAAGAAGAGATCCCCTTGCTCTGGTATGGAGTGGTAAACTTTTTGTTTCTCAAAGGATTATTATGTATTTTATTTCTACGTGGATGTTTCTGAAATTGTTTTGGTGTTTTTTCCCTGTTACCATGCAAATTCTGGCTTCTAGAAATCTAAAGTAGGGTGGGTAAATAACACAACTAGGTTTGGTACTTCAAGGTAATAACTCTATTTCTTTTGTCACAACCAGACCTGGGGGAGAGAAGCACCAATGTTAAGATAAAAGGCTGAAAATAAATGAATTTGAGTCAGCTTTTGTCCAGTCATGCCTGAAGGGCAAGAGGGATGGATTTATCAGCTGCAACCCTTTGGTTTAGTAACTTTCTTCCTGTTTTAGGATGCCTGCTCTGCATGTATGTATGCAAAGTGCAGGAAGGAAGAGTTACAACATGTTTGTAACTCTTGTATTCAAGTTTCCACACTACCAGTACTTTGTGAGAGCCCCTGGCCCTGAGAGGCTCTTTCAAACAGTAAACCTGCTCAGCACAGCTGGAGGCAGAGATAATTCATAGAGGTTACAACTCAACAGCCTTTGGTACAATATTTAGGCAAAGGGAATGAAGTGAAACTACAAAACTGCTTTACAAAACTGCTACATGCAGAGAAAGAGGCCTGGGTGAATGAACTGGAGCCAGCAACTACAGTAACTCACAAAAGCAAGGATTAAAAAAAATAAGTCACAGAGTGCCAATATAGATGGATACAATTAGCATTTTGATAGTATAGCAGGGAAGACTATAGAAAAATCCCAACACATGAGAAGGCAAGAGGAGACAGACTTGCTGCTTTTCCACAGTACTCATGAGGGCTGTACTTTAAGAAGACAAAAACAAAAACCCCAGGCTGCTCTTTGTACAAGACCAGAGGGAAGAATGAAAGATGAAGAAGAAAGGGAAGGCATTTTATGCAGATAAAGAAATTCCCAGTGTTTCCCTGCACTGAGCTCCTGAGTTCAGTGCACTTCACAGAAAGGAACAAGCAATAGCATTACAAAGTTACAGTGATCCCAAATGCAGACTTAAAAATTCAGGGCCTGAACACACTAGCGTAATGGGAATGATTTAAAAGTCTGTTGTAATACAAGAGTTCAAATTTTCACAATGGAGTCACCCAAGGGGTCCAGAAAGAAAGCAGAAAATTATCAAAGAACTTCCTCTTCTTATAAAATTTCTCATTGCTTCAAAATAAATATAAGAACCCTTCCTTAAAGGCTGCAATTAAAGTGTATTAATTCTTCAGGAACTGAAAAAGGAAGGGAAGGAATTTCAGCAAAAAGTACAATTATGAAGTTTGCTGGTGAATAACTGTTACATTGTACAAATGCAAAGTAGACACACATTGTTGCAGACTTCCATAAATATATCTGGAATAATACAAACTTTCATCTTTTAAAAAATCCTCCATCTAGAAATAAAGGTTTCCACAGTTGCTGCCTATCCATCACTACTAGTTTATGATGCAGGCAGTAAGTATGGCACTTTTTAACATTTGTGAGGGAAAAAAAGAAAAGACAGGCATTCCTTGTCTCACAATTCAAGGACAGAAAGTAAGTGGGCAAAGGGTGTCTGCAAGTTAAGTCTGTTCTATGCAAGTTAAGTCCTGTAAGTGTAGGAAGCAAAGAGCAGAGGGCAAATACAAGAGCTTGTATGGAGACAGGCAGCAATCTTGGGGAAGAAGAGAGAAACTTTTACTGAGGAACTGCCCAGTCCAAACATTTGCTTCTAGCCTTTGCAATCACAGAAAGAATCTTTATAAATTCGAAATGATTCAGTAATCAAAACTTGTGAAGTCATTTTTTCCAGTTCTCTGCTCAGACCACTCAACCACATCTCATTAGTAAGTAAATAAAGACCTCATTAAAAATAAGATGTCATGAATCCCTGAAAGACAGTCTTTATTTTGTAGCATCAACTTGAACTTTTGGCATGCAATCCAAAATCCACTGCTGTGGTACTCTGGCAGCACTTACCTCCTGTCCTGTAGCTACATCTATTGCTGTGTAAACTGTACCTGAGGCTCTAAACAAAACAGAGAAAAGAAAAAGAAATTATTTGTTAGTGTCTCAAAGTAAAAGTGAGAGCTTAACACATGCCCCTTCCCACTTGTCTCTCTGAAGTGCTCTCAATCCCATTCCTTTACATGCAATAATTCCAGTGGTAAACATAATCTGAAATATTTCTCAGACAAGACTGTTGTTGAGGCAGAAGCCAGAGGATTTATGGGAAGAAAAGTTCCTAATAAAGTTCCTATGGTCATCCAAACCCTTGCTGCTAAACCAGCAAACTGTAGGACTGAGTTTTTTCCATTTCAAGTGGCATGACCACACTATCCTGGCTTGCAAACTGCCCAACATGATAACAGAGCAACAGGATCAGCTGAAGTAAACAAATGGGGCATTGTAGTGTGGAAAACAGGAGTTTGAGGCTCAGCACAGGGATCTGACTGCAGATCTGTGTTTTGCCTCAGTACAGTCTCTCCTACAACCTCTACTTTCCCCCTACCTTGCTTAGAGGAGCACAGCACATGCCTTGAGGACAGCTGATTCAGAAGCAAATCTGTACACTGAAGATGGTCTTGCAGCTCTTTCCCTGCTTGTAGCTGTATTTAACAACCTGATTATCTAATGGCATAATTTCTTAAATTACAATACAATTCCACAAAAACCCAGTCCCTGTGACTTTGCCAGGAACAAGAGAAGATTTGGGGGGATGTGGAACCCAGCAAAACAGCCAGAAACAAAAACAAAAAGAAGAAAATAAATAAGCAACCAAACAAAAGAAACTTTCTAAAGTATCCCAAACAGCCTTTCCAGCAAGCTAACTTAGCCTGGTTTCAGTGAATTCTTCTTAGCATAAGAAAGTGAAAGGTTTAGGCCAGAGAAGAAGCATATACTGACCCCTGTCCAATCTTCTCAAAATTCGTGTACTTCTTTTTTGGATCGCCCACACTCACAATACTTCCTATAAAAAAACGAAAAAAAAAAGAGGATTTTCTTCAAGGCCTTCTTTCATACAGCTACAAGAGCTAACTTTAAGAACAGCTCCATTGACCACAGTAGGCTCTGTCTCATGAGCCACTCATCAGAAATCCAGAGGCACACGGACACCAAGGAAGTCCTCAGTTATTTACACACATCCCAGCTGCAGCATTCCCCTGTATCAGGAACTTCCCTCCAGAAATGATGGGACACACACATTAAGAACATTTAACCTTCACTGGCAGTCATTACTAGGTGCAGGATGGGGATAGACAGGCCTGACACATGGAAAAACAGTAATTTGTTGGAAACCTGCTACTTACACTCCCAGCTTTAACACCCTGGATGATCTAAGATGTCCCTGCACTGCAATGTCTCTGAATTTGGAGGCTGGGCTCTCAATCATCTTGGAGGCAACAGTCTGTTATAAAACTAGTCAAAGATTTCCCTACAGCATGACAATTTGTAGCAGCAAAAAAAGCATTTATGATCTTTTTGTACCAGCACAACCACAACCATTTACTGACCCAGTGACTGGGCTGCATGACTCAGAAGAGAAGGTAGAGAGAGCCTCCAGAGAGAGCCAAACCTCCCTTGCCTGTCCTGGGCAATGCTGAGCTGCTTTTCCAGGAGATTGACAGGCAGCACAGGTTTTAGCAGCAGTTACCAGCATCCCTCTGCTTTTGGAGAGCAACCTGAGACCACCTCAGCCCATTCTCCCAAAACCAGAAGTCTCTCACTGCCTTCCTCAAAGGGAAAAGCACTTTGCCTGGTGTTCCGCAGCACGGGGTTCCAAGTGGCTGCAAACTTTAATTGATACTGATAACTCCCCTATGGCAGGCAGGAATGACACCCTTTTTAGGGGGAAGGAACCAGAGCCAGCAATTTCTAGAGCTCAGCTGGGAGCCAGTCTCCTCTCTAACAGCACCAGGGTGGCTGAAAGGATCAAGGGATGCAGAGCAGCACCCGAGCTGGTGTTTGCAAGTCCCCGAAGCTGCCGACATACGGTGCTGCTGTCACAGGGTCCGGGGCTGAGCCCGAACAGATCAATACTGCCAAAGAAACTGCTCCTGGCCATTAAGCCAAGAAATCCAGTAGCAAGCAGAGCAGGAGCAGGCTATTTTCAGACTCCACTGGAGAGCAGCCAAGCCCACAGGGTTTAGGACAGACAAAGGTAGAAGTAGGGAATACCACCCGTGTTTGGAGAGGAGGGCAGGAAGAGAAATCTGGCTTCACAAAACCCACTCTACAATTACAGAAGCAATGCTGTCTGCCCTGAGGACTGGTATTTCTGGACAAATACTCAGAAATTTTCCCTCAAAGCCTAACACAGGCTACAAGCTCAGACTGCAAATGCTTCCCCAAGGCAAGGACTGGACAAAATGCAGTGATGACAAGTGGCAGTTGCCAGTTTTGCCCAGTTTAATGCTGCATTTCCTACCTTCCAAAGAGTCAGGTGAGGATTCATTAATGTTCGCACCAATGCTGTGTTTCTGCTGAGAGGTAGGGATCGAGCAGCCTCCTTTTAACCTTTGCATGCATTTAGCACATATTTTGTATGTGTAAATATATTTTTGCTTTACAGTTTTAATCATTTTAGTTAAACTAAAATGTCCAAAGACTGCTTGTCTGCACAACTACAGCTCCATTGCCCTCAGTGGAAAGACATTTTTACTTAGATTAAGACTAAAGATTAAAACTTCATAACATTTTTCTGACTAGCCCACATATAGAAGCTGACACCTGGAGCAAGCAAGGTGTCAGAAGGTACATCTGCTTCCCAACACTCCCAAAAGTAGCACTTGCACTTCTCTGCATGACTGAAGTGGGTGTATTTTTATTAGAATAGCACTTTTCTTTCCTGCCACAGTTGCTGCTCGCCTTGCCTGGTCACAAAAATGTCTTGAATCCTTAATGATACAAAAATCCTGCTAATTGAGTTAGTGAAGCTGGTGTTTTGAAACAATGGCTGTGAGTTTTCCAACAGCAAGCCGTTGCAATTAATAAACCATCAAGTTAATTTAGGCTTTATTTAGAGAAATTAGTTACGCAGATACCATTTTAATATTTTAAATTTTTTTTAAAGTTGTATCCTCAGATTAAGTCTTCATCTAACTACTAGACTCTTACTCCTAAAATACTGACAAATATATCCTTAAACCAAAGAGGCCAGCTTTATCATAGAGGTGCTAACACAATTTAAGTCAACTGACAAGCAAGGCATGGATGTAACTAATACAGGATTAGTAGTTCAAAGAATTAGAAATGCTCTACTCTAACAAAACCTAGCCCAGGCTGAGGATAGCAATCAATTGCATCAAAGAGCTGGTTCAGCTGTTGGATATACCACAGCATAACCCAAAACCACCAGGCAGCAAGGGAGCACTTGCACTGAAGGTAGGAACTGTTAAAGACAGGAGGACACATCTGAGAGACTTGATGAATTTTTCTCAGAAAAAACCCACCAATTTGGCTACCCACAAAATGTTAAAGCACTTAAAAATAACCAAGCCACTTTACACCATGATACTGAAGAAGGCAAACTTGGGGATGCATTAATTTTCTCTCCATCTTTTAGACACCTTATGTCTAACATCGCAATATAATCATTCATGCTTCAGAGATGCAGAATAAGATGTGGAATGATCTCAGACTTCATAGTTAAATAGATGTTATTTATTCAGGGCTTGTTTTGCAGAGCCTGAGGATCTGCAGCTCCCTGGAGACTTCAGCCAGTATCACAGGGGCTCAGCCTAAATTCAAGCTCACCCCTTACATCTTCCCCTGGTTTTGTGTTGTGACTGTGGGCCCATGTCTTCAGTACGGGGTTGCAAAACAGGGAGAAGTTTCAGCTTATTGACATTCTGAGAAACCAACACAGCAGGACCTGGAATTTAACTTTTTTAGAGAACAAGGACATACTTAATTTTTCCAGTATCTCTTCATCTGACATTTTTGGCTTTTTCTTCTGCTTCTCCGTGTTCCTGACCAGCATGTCGGGTGCTGCTGTGCTGTTTTCCGAGGGAGAAGAAATAGGAGAGGTGGCCACATCTCTGGTAGGCGGAGGAAGAGGGTCTATCACAGAGCGGGTGTATATCTAATTTTGTTGGGAAAAACACACAAGTCAGGTGAAGATTTAAACACTTCTATTCATCTTGTTACTGTTGTTGTCAGGGATGCATTTCTATAGCTGCTTTGTTAGCAACTAGAATCACTACTCAAGGACTCATGCACCCCCCCAACTAGGCAGGTGACAACACTGAGGTACTCTGCCAGAAGGAATGGCTCCCACTGCCTCCCTCCTGCTCCCAAGAAGGGCTCAGCATCAAGCCATGCAGAGGGACAAAGAGCCACAGCCAAGGTCTGACTGTGATTGCAGCAGTGCAGGCTGAACAAAAAATTTCTGCTCACAGATTTGGTGTGTTCAGGTCGTGGAGCTATCACAGGGGGTGGAGCTGCATCGTCTTCATCATCCTCATCTTCAGACACTGAGGGCACTGCAGGGGTCTCAGAGACAGCCTTCACATTCTGCGTGGAATTGCACAAATAGCAGAAATCAAAACCCAATCACACATTATAAACAAAATCACAAACATTGGATTAAGCTCCTAACAGAGATTGCACTGAAGCAATAATCAGAATGGGCTGGTGAGTTATAGGGTCTGAAAAATTCAAAACCCAAGGTTCCTGGGTCTTCATGGGAAATGGATGTGCAGTCCAACACTGCCTGACACAACTGTTCAGAGAGAGCTCCTCATCTGCCTGAGTGACAGCAATCCTCTTCCCAAGGACCTGAGGAGACCTGGGCTCTCTCACTGCTTTCCCAACACCCACACAGCTGACCAGCAAATTTTGGGACACCCAAGTTTGGAAATATCTGTCCCTATTTATACTGTCTCTTAGGGCTTTTTGCTTGCTTCAAACTCTGACCATTCAGTATGAAGATTTCAGACTTTAAATGCTAGAATTCACATCAAACTCTTAATGATTGTTTCTCCAAAGGTTAGGAGGTCAGGTTAGCATCACTTCTGGTATGGTGGTTGAGAACTAATTAATTAATGTGAGATTTTGGAAGCAGAATCTGGCAAAATCTTTTCAAATCACTTTTTAAATTACTTCCCATACAAATTTATGGAAAAATAAGAACAATTATTTTGTTTAAAAACAGTTTTTTTGAGTTTTCTTGAAATTTTTGAAAAACAGTTTTTCAAGTTTTCTTGAAATTTTCTTGGAATTTTCTGCAATACTGTGATTAGGAATGAATGTCACTTTTAAATTCATCCATGTGACACTGGATTAGAAGTTCATTACATCCTTTACACTACAAACATTTCAGAATAAACTTGGTAAGGTCCTCAACCCACTAGACCAGTTCTGTTTGTGCATCATCACCTCCCTAAGAGTGGTGGGGGGAAAAGTATTAAAATCCTCAGAAAGAGGGGGAAAGCAACACAGTATTTCACTGAGCCTAAAATACTTGAAGTCATCATCATCCTGACAAATAATTGTCAAAACGCACTTGCCATAACACAAAAACTGAGCTTGTCAAAAACTACAAGGAAAAACTATGTACTGGGAATTTCCTGAATATCCCCAAAATTAAAGACTGGCCTGAGGGAGGGCATTGGGTATCTCAGTAGACTGGTAACTATTGCTTTTGTCAGTGTTTACTTAAAAATCCAACCTCAGATATTGAAACTTCTGAGGACTGATGTACAATGATGTGTAATTATGAACAATGGCAGAAACATTTTCCTTTTCTTTTTCCAGAGTCCTAAATTATCAGATCTGAATAAGCTGCCTTTGGAAGGGAGAAAAACAAGCTAATTCTAGGTAATGACATGGCCATGAGAAAACAAGAGCTGAGGGAATTGTGGGGTTTTATGAACCATCTTAAACTGAAAGTTTTGTTTCTTCTATGTCACAGGCACAAACAAAAATTTATCATGTCTCCTAACAAAGCAAATAGGAGTGGTGTCTGCCCTGGCAAGAACTGAGTAAAGGTCAAGTAGAGAGGAAGAGAACCTTTTATTTCCTGTTCTGCTAGAGATTAGTCTGGTTAATCAACATTAGCTTTAGTAAATCAGACCTCACAGGTTAGTAAATAAACTTTGTTATAAAACAGTTTACAGAGAAATAAAACCTGACAGCAGAATAGTTATCAAATTCTGGGTGTAGAAAAAGACCAACTTCTATGAAAACAGACCTATTTCTACTAATTAATTCACTAATTTCCATTCACTAATTCACTATAAATCCTACTTCCATCTGCTTTATTCTCCACCAGTTGAAAAAAAAAAAAGTGAAAGGAGCACTCCTGTTTTTATAAACATGTACTCGCTATACAAATATACATAGTTCAGATTTTAAAACATGAAGCAAACTACAAGTTTACAAGTAATTAACTAGTTTTTGCAAGTTTTTTAATCCCCAAACTCAAGACAGAATGTGAAGCTTACCAACGTATTAGATGAATTGTAATCCTCAGCAGATTTATCTGAAAGACAGATAATAATGCCATTATAAATGAGTTATATATGCAGCAAAAGTGGGGAGAGGAGCAAGGAACAAGCTTTCTTTAGAAAAGGGAGGAAAAAAGGCTGCTCCCAAACTTAGCTCCCTAACTCCAGCTTCCCAGAACCAGCTGAACCCTGGAAGATATAGGAACAGAGGGTAAATGAATGCAGACAAATGCAGGGGTCACAAATCCCTGCAGCAGGAGGGTGGAATTGCCCAGAGCAAAACCTGAATGAATATTGTCCTCCATCCATGTACACAAAATATTATCAATGACTAAGTCCCCAGCAGAGGCACGGCAGCTGACTCCTGACTGCAAAATGTTCATTCTCAGCCACCTAAACTTCCTGGAATAGCAGAGAGGACCCCACAAGTCAACTGATGGGCTTCTCATTTGACTATCCAGGCACATATGGGGAATATTTGTGCTTTTATCCCTGCTTGGAGCCTTCCTAATTAGTACCAGATCTGCTGACATAGTTCTATCCCCCTTAAAGAACCAAAGTAGGGGTTAATATTTAGAAAGGAAAGGAGTTGCAGTTGAAAGGAAAAGGAGTGGTGGTTGGAGATGTCCTTCAGAGGGCAGATAACCCATAGAGAGAGCCACAAAACCTTGGCAGCTTCAACTTTTAGAGGAACCCAGCCAGCAATTTTCAAGCACCCAGGCAGCTGAGGCCCATTCCTCAACCATGGCACATGGGAGCAGGGAGACTCTCACCCCAAGTACACAAAAAGCAACACCCACACCCACCCTGCAAACTGAAACTGGTACAAAATTTAGCTGCCTGTTTTCTCCAGGGACTTTCATCAGGGGGAACCCAGTCCCAGCAGTCTGGGATCTGCCTTCCAGATGCTGGCTGTGGCTGTGAGCATCAGAAAAAGGATGTGTTTGGGAGGCTCAGCCAGTTGACTGACCTCCTCTTTTGCAGCTATGCTGGGCATCCAGATTAACAGAAGAGCATTTTAAAGGAAGAAGGGTGCTTGAGCAGCCAGAGAATCTCATTCAGATTTTCCTTGAAAAGAGAGACCTACTTGTCCATTAACAAAAGAAGCCCCACATGCCCTGACCACAGAGAGTTGGAAAAAGCAGCCGCATGAGACCATCACCATGTACCTGTGAAGCTCATGTACTTCTGGCTGTTGGAGATCTTCTTGGAGTTGTAAAACTCCAACACATCCAGCACTGCCTGGGGGTTCTTCTTCTGCTCTGACTTGGTGATGTTGGAAGTCTGCAGCAGGCGTGCCCACTGCTCTGGCATTCCCTGTGGGAAGAGGCACCTTGGTAACACAAAGCTGGTCTAACGTGCACAAAACGTAAGTCCACTGCCACAGTTCTGCCCCAGCTTTTGGAGTTACACAGTATTGTGAGGGAAGTAGGGAGAAAAGAGGACAGAAGAGGAGAGGAAAGAAAATGAGGTGGTGAATGTGTGTGTCCCTAGCCACTGCCTGTGTTACAAATCACACTTGGGCATGTAAATGTCACTCTGCTCTTGGGTCTCTGGGTGACTCCCAGGTCCTTTGCAGAGCAAAATTCAAAAACGAGAAAGGAGAAGAACCAATTGCTGCACTTTGGGAAAAGCCTCAAGAAAAAACCAAAACAAACCACAAAATCCTTTATGCACAGGTATTCACGTACTTATGTATACCCAAGAAAGACTACAGAAGTAACACGCACTGTATAGCCTCCAGCACAATGGACATGCAACACCCATTTGGGTCTTCTGGTAGCACTAGAGTTCTTTGGTAACAGCAGTATGGTGCCCTCTGTAACCAGAGCTGGGAAAGCAGAGGTGTTAACTCCACATCTGAAGGTCAGAATTTCATAATAGGGACATCATTTCAGCCAAAAGATAAACACACCTGAAAAACAGCCAGACTTGTGCCCTTCCTCACCAGCAGGGATAACAGTTTGTATGGACAAAGTGGCAGAGACTGGGATCCATGAGCAATGAAGTTATCCTCCCTGTTCAAAGGATGGCTGGATGCACCCCTCAAGTAATGGCCCACTAGTACAGGTGGGGTAACCTGGGCAAGTCTAGAGGATGCCATGCCAAACACATGTGAGCACATGGCTCAGGATAGGGGAATAAAGTCCCTGAAAAAGCAGCATATTACAGACAGGCAGAAACACCTTGTTCACAAACAACTTCTGCTGCTAGGAAATACTATCTCATAACCAAAATAAGAGTGAAAATACAATGACGATGATGAAATACAACTCTGTCTTTACAGTATTTTACAGCATGTCAATAAACAAAAAAACCCCACCACACATAAAAGCATCTGGTATTTAGCCTTAGGGCAGCACATACATGTTCTGTCCTAAGTAGCTGTACACAGCTGTGTGCCTCCCAAAGGAAAACTCTCAGAGCCCCACTTGGGGAACAGAGGCTATACTATAGACTTATTTCAGCTCTAGAGGAGGAAGGGAGGGGAAGAGAAGGGAAGGGAAGACAGATATACCACACTTAGCTGACCACAGCAGCCAAAAAACCAAGAAAGGAAAAGTTTGCTGGCAACCTGAGCTCCTGGGATGTGCCAAGTTTGACAGTCTCTCAGCATGAATTAGTGGGTAACCTCTGCAGATGTGTTTCAAATGAGATCAAACTAGATGATGGTAATAGCCCTTCCAGCATTAATATATAAAAGATTAATGGGCCCTGGCTCCTCCTAGCAATAAGCTAAACCACACAGTTCTCTCTTCCTGCAGCTTCACTTACTGTGAATTCTCCTGTGACTGCATCAAACCCCACATGAATTGTGTGTTCAAAGTCTGACGGGAGGGAGATCTCCGGCCGCTCTTTCTCTTTCTTCTTATTGGCTGCGAGGGACAAAAACAACAATAAAAAAAATCCATACATGCATCAAGATCTAAAATCTCCCCGATAGCTTCTACTTCACCTACACAATCAACCCCGCCTCCCATTTTTGCTAGTCATAGGATTTTGATCTGAAGCAGACAAACAAAGTTTAAAAATTTTCTGTCCACACTTAAGAGCAGCCACAGTGAGTGAATAACAGAAATAAAAGTCCTGTAACACAGGAAAAACATAAAAGAAGGAAAGTGATATTTTCAGTATGTAAAGTATCAACTAGTATATCTAGACTCAACAGCATGAGAGCTATTTACCTAAAATATTCACTCAAACTTACACAGGTCAGAGTCAAAAGCTCTACAGTGGCAGAAAGTGGAAGCCAGTCAGTTTTGAACACATTTTTATTTGTTGTTTTAAGCAACTTTAAAAAAACCCAACAAAACAATGTTATGTGCTTTCAGATATATATACTTGCCTCTCATTCAAAAGCCAGGGACAAAATTAACTACAAATACTGCTGGGAAATTGCTTCCTTCATCCTATTTCCACAAAAGTTTGTGAAGAAACCTAAATATGTTTGATTCTGCTCTGAAATCCTATGAGCAAAAGCACTTCATTTTTTTTTTTTTGTGCTCACAGAATGAACTAAAGATAGTTTTAATAACCAGCTTTAAAGACATGAGCAAGATAGCAGAATCTGGCAGGTGAGGAGCAGAAGTCACCAAGAAACAGGGAAGGAAATACATCAAAGCAGATGCACCCTGCAAATATTAAACAGAGGTCTTCAAACAAGATTATCATTATGCATTGGATTAAGTTCATCCATATTCATTATGTATTAAAGACTCCACCTTCCTTTTAGCATTTATTGGATTCAAGAAATTGAGATTAGTTTAAGGAAGAAGCACATTCTAGTTGGCTCTGCTGCTGCTTGCAGTTATAAAATCAGCAGAGCCAGGAGAAGGTGAGCAAACCACTCACATTTCCCAGCTGCTCCCCTTTTTTATCCAAAGCCAAACAGAATTTGTTTTGTGGCTGACATTCCCCAGTGCACTTCTGGCAACATGAAGGCTAAACCCCAGGTATTTGAGAAGCCTGCAAGGCTAACACTCAGTGTAGCAATTCTTTAAGACACTACTGTGGTTAGTTGTGTAGGGAGGCTCAGGGTTGGCCCCAAGGACTGAATCCCATTTCCTTCAGTGCCAGCTCTGGCACTATTCTCTGTATCATTACAGAGCTACAGTTGTACAGAGTAATTTTGGAGAACGAAAAGGATCAGATGCTCCATTTGGGACACAAAGATGGAACAGATTGTTTTTGATCCCTCTTTAAAACAAAGGGAATGAGGGAAGCTGAGTCACAGAGGAGTGACAGAGCTGCCAAGGGGAAAAGAGCAATGCTGGAGGAGCCATCCCTGAGAAGGGAGCGAGGAGGAGACAGGAGCAGCTGCTGGTTGGCAGATGGTGAGCATCTGCAGCAGAGAGGCTGCTGCACACACTAGCGCCGGATGGAAAGCGAGAGGCAAAGAGGTGCAGGGAGTGCCATCAGAGCCACCATGTCCCATAGGTCTGCCCACAGGATCAGTCCACTCTTCCAAGCCAAAGACTGAGGTGCCATCTCAGCCCAGAAGCCCATTGCTCAGGTGAGGAAGAAGAGGATACCTCTACCAGCACCACTACACAAGAGCTCTGCACAGACAATGAACACCCACACGTGGTCCAGGGCAGCTGCCACAGCAGAGTTGAACATATTCCTAAACAAAGCTTAAGGGCATTAAGTTGCTATCCAGAAGTCTTAGGTGTTTTTTTTTTATTTCTACATTCAGGCAGATCTGACAGATCTAGAAGCCTAAACATTATTAAACCATTAATAATACAATTGCCTTTGTAACCAGGTGGTATAAGGGAAAAAGAACTAAAGAGAAAGGCACTCCCAGTCTGGCTAAACACTAAAGTCCCTTTAAAGTGATTGCATTATCTTTGCAATGAGCTAAAAAGACTTGAAGAATCTTAATTAAAAAAAAAAAATACAAAAGCAAAATAATATCATATATTTAAGACGACCTACCACCACCAAAGGCTTTATTCCCACAAACACCTCATCACCTTCTCATTCCATTTCAATGCTGTTACAAGAGCCTCCCATAAATTTTTCTTACAATGTTCTGGCAACTTGAGCTGCAATGTGAAGCATGATGTCTGACCACGCAGTGAGGCCATCCTGAAGCACACTGAGATGAGAAAGGTCTTCACCACTGCTAACATGGACTCAAGTGCTCCCAGTCACTGTGGAAAGGGCTCCTGCTTGCTGCACACTGTCACCTCGTGGGTAAATCCTTGCCTCTGTTTGAAGCTGCAGCTGAGCTCAGCAAAGTTCAAAGGAGATAAATGTGCCCCATTCAAGCCAGACTGACACCCTCAGTTAGGCACTGATGAGTCCCCTGAGCCCAGGAAAATTCAAAATATTCACAAGTCCTGCTGAGAGCAACAAGTCACACAAGCCCTGCATCCTATTGGGCAGGACTCACCCAGTATTAAGCCAACAGGTTTTTTAAATGCCAGATTTGTGGTTTAGGCTTGGACAGAGGAAATGAGGACTACAAATTACATCCTAAATTTTGCAGGCAGAGCATGACACTTTCAGAGCTGCCTGGCAAGGGATATATTCAATGCAAGTGTGCAAACATGCATGAGGCCCTGGATTTATGCCCCATGTGTCCTTTACACAACACTTCTGCTCATGTACAGGGGTAGCACAGATTTGCTCAAAATTACTTTCCTCTAACTGAATGGAAACCAACTTCCCTTTTAGTTCAGCCAAACTAAAAAATAACACCCGAGTCATTTCAGGCACAAACCAAAGAGAAGTGTTGTGAACACTGAAGAATTTCCCTACGTTTAAGCAGCAAGACACAATAGGAATTTAGCTGTCATCATGAGACTAGAAGTTGTTTTCATAAGATGGAAATCAACAAATTTGAAGTGAAGGTGACAGTGTTAAAGGAATTTTTTGCTCAACAGGAATTAGAGGACAGAAGCAGCCATTCTCGTTTGGGCAGGTGTATTGCAACAGAAGGCTCTGCTGGGCTTGGCTAAACAAAAATCTCTCATGTCTTGAAGCATCTGCCATGTTGGCCCATCTTCAGTAAACATGGGCAGCTTTGGATCAGTCACAGTCTGTCTGCTGATTTTCCCCAAACCTTCATTTTTCTCCTTGTTCATAGTTCTCCTTCATAATCCAACTCAAACTAGCATTTCAGGTTCTACTTCTTTTACTCCTTTACAAGTTTCAGGTGATTTCTTTAATCTCTGGAACAGTTCATCCTGGAGATTTAAAAACTCCTCTCCTTTATGTAAGTCAACACAAAAATCCTGCAGCTTTTTTAGGATTCATACTCATAATGGCAAGTTCTAACCCAGACCCAGCAAAATTTAACATTGAGTTCACGGGTTTCTGGATTGCATTATGGGCTCAAAACCCCACATTTGTAAAACAACCCAAAGTTGCCAAAAGTATCAGATAAGGATAATAATAATGAATGCCACACTCAATTTGTAGAAAATGATCCACCACCTTGCTTATTTAAATTAGTGAAGCTATCATTTCAATTAGTCTTTTCACTAATAAAAATTAGGAGGCAGCCTCCCTCCTGAAGGCCAGGGAGTTGAAGGTATTTAGTCTTGACTTAGAAACCATTGCAATACAGAAAAAGCTGATGTATTACGAAGAGGAATTCCAAAAAAATAGGTCAGATATAAAAAGAAGCCAGCACATATTAGGGGATGAAGATTTTTTTTTTTTTGCATCACTTCAAAAGATTCCTAGGAGAGAGGTTTTTTTAAAATATCCTCATCCTAAAAATTAGAATTTCATGTACAGTTCACAGTTCCTATCTCTTTTTCCATCTGTTACAGTCCCTTGAACATGAAAAACTCCTTCAGTTCACAAGAAATATGCAAGAATTTTCAGTGACAGAATGTTCTTAAAAGCAAGTAGACAATGCCTGACCCAGACATTAGAACAGAGTAAACGGCCATGAGGCAAAATATAACAGGTCTAGCAGGAAATTGTATATTAGTCTTGTATAACTCAAATTATTTGCTGTTTAAAACAACAAAACAAGCAAAAGACCTCCCTCTCTGCTCTCCACCAATTGCCAATGCCAGCTTTATTGGCCAGCTTGTAATTGGCACAAAACCTTATGATTTTCTAGACCTTTTGTTTACGGACAAGTCAGGCTGGGAAGTAACAGAGCTAGTCCCAGAGCTAGTCCAGATTTTCAGGGACACTGTTCTCATAATTTATAGGAAAGGCAGAATAAATTAAAAAAAAAAAAAAAAAACACTACAAGAAAGGGGGCCTAAAAGAGACCTGCAAAAGGATTTTGACAAGGGCATGGAGTGATAAGACAAGAGTGAATTAATTAAAAACAAGAGAGGGCATGTTTAAACTAGATATTAGGTAGAAGTTCCTCACTGTGAGAGTGGTGAGGCACAGGTTGTTCAGAGAAGCTGTGGCTGCCCTTTAGAAGTGTTCAAGGCCAGCCTGGATGAGGCTCTGAGGAACCTGGTCTGATGGAAGTTATTCCTGCCTATGACAAGTACATTGGAACAAGATGATTTTTAAGGTCCCTTCCAACCCAAATAATTCTAGTATTCTATGATCCTGTGAAAAAAAGCAAGATGGATTAAATGTTACAGGTTTAATCATTAGAAAAAACATATCTACAGACTGTACCTTATGTACCCTGCAACAACAAGACAGAAGATTTATAAGAAGAGATAAAATACTGTACTTTTGTCTCCTGGCAAAATAGATCGGTAAAACCGATCCTTCCTCTTCTTTTCTTCTGGATTGGGAGGCAGAGGTTTTGAGCCATGGTTCAAAGTCCCGGGATCTTTGCTTCCTGAACCAATCATAGTGCTGGTATTTCTCATTGGAGGAGCCGGTGGTTTGTCTTCTGTTTCAACTCCATTGTTAGACATCTTCAGCTGGGGAGGCCGTTACTGGGAATTGGGAAAGAAAACAGGTTAGAAGCCATAATTATTTATTTATTTATTTATTGTGGACTAGAACCACACACTACCAAGTAAACCACAAGCAGGGTATTTGCAGATGGACCTGCAACCTCAGCCCAACCATTAACCTAGCACTCCTGTGTACACCATTACCATATGCCCAAGTGCCACACCCACTGGCTTTTTGAACTCTTCCAAGGATAATGAGCAACATGAACCCAGCATAAAAATTTGTGTCAACACAATAAATTCTACCCAAGATGTCTTTTTTTTCCTGTTATTAAGACTATGGTTGAGCATTTGCATTATTGATTACTGAGAAAAGCCTATTTCAGGATACAACAAATTCTCAAAGAAACTATGGAGCAGAAGTCAGGGTGAGAAGGTTAATACGGCATAGTGAAGAGGAAGGATACCTGAGAGGAGCCAACAAGTTGCTGAGTTTGTAATACCTCTCAGATCCATGCTAGTTCTCCTAAAAACTGTCAAAAGGTTTGCATCAGCCTCCAGCACAGCACAACACAGAGAATGAAGTTTGTACTCAGAGTTTTGATGCAGCTGCTCAGGCTCCTTTGCTAAAGAGCTGCTGAGTGGGTTCAGAAGTAGAAGTGGCCATAAAACCCTGAGCTGTACCCCCTCAGATGCACTGTCACAGCCCTTGATTGTGCCAAGCCAGCCCCAGCCTTCCTGCAGTAACTGCAAACTTCAGGAGCAACTCCAACTGCCAGGAAGTTGATTGCATTTTGTTCTGTTGGGAGGGTCAAACGAAACCAGATCCCCAACACACACTTAAATCCATAAGTAAATAATCCCTGCTGTGCAGATTTAAAGACGGAAGCTTGGGAACAGGGTAATAGATTATTCTGCAACAACTAACTTGTTCCACCCAAATGAGATCAGCATTACTCCTGGCACAGCCCGGCTGCAGCAAGATCCTTCTGGAAACTAGAATTCATCTGCACTATGTTTTCTTTCAAAAGTGAGTTGGGAGTTAACTGCTGAATAAAGACCAAAGTGGGAACAATTTCTGTTTGGGTGGAAAAAGCAATTCAACAGCTTTACCACTTTCACAGGCAGTAAGGGAAGTTGTTTCACTCAGGGAAAGTTGCAGTGTGGCAAAAAGTCAGAAGCTGTTTGCTCTCTGCAAGTAAGAAGTTTAGTTACAAAGCTGAGATCACTGCTGACTGCCAGGGAGCCGCTTTCCATAGGCTGGACTCAGTGTGACACTGAGTCACACTGAACAGATCTCACCACTACACCACAGTCCTATGGCCACACAGCACCCAGCCAGCCTTCAAAGTCTTCTTTAGCCAAGCTACTGATCCTCAGTGTAACTGGCAAGCTTTGGACCCAGAGCACACTGCTCTCACTGCTGTGGGGAACTAAGGCAGGCAAACACTGCCCACAGAAGTCACTCAGCAGCAATGTGCCAGATTTTGCCAAGAGCAGAGTTTCCCTGTTGCCTGCCAAGCCATGGCTGGCCTGCAGCTCCACCTTTGCGTCCATTGATTGATTCCCAGTTTGTTCACAGCTGCCCTTAAATGGGAGGGCTGGCAGTGTAGTACAGCCTGTAAGGCTTTGGGCAAGTCTTTACACACAGGGAACTTTGTAAAAGGTCTGCCCCTAGCCCCATTCTCCTTCCAATACAGCTATGCAAAGGAATATTAAATGACAGACTAGCATTTAGGGATTGATTTTAATGGTGGGACAGCTTTGGCATTTGGGAGGGGTGGGGGGAAATTATCTGTGCACTTGTCTGGGTGTGTCCTCACATGTGCCCTGCGCATGTCCCACCACTCACACTTCAGCCTCATGCCATTCTTGGGTATAAAACAGAACAGAACAGAGTGACAGCTGGGGTGCCAGCCATGAAGTGGTTGGTGCAAATGAATACTCTCCCTGCCTAAGCAGTGGAAAAAAGTCTAAGCTAAAACCCAGCTGATAATTTTGGCAGCCACTGCTGCACATCTATCTTGTGAAGCATGAAGATACTGAGCCCTTCCTGATGGGCTTTGCACATCCTAGTGTCAGCGGCTGGAACCAAACTGGCACAACTAAACCATTTGAAACAACATAAGCAGCAGTGTCCTACAAGAGATGCATTCTCTGCTTTGATCTTATTTAACCACGAAAAAGCAAATTGCCAGGAAGGTGCTAGGAATACACTGCAAACAGGGAAGCAGAAGGAAAAGGAATGTTAGCAGCCCTCTGCCTGCCAAACAGACCTCCCCAGGCACCACATTTGCTGCTCTAACAGCCTGATTTACCCCCAGCAGGGGTCTGAATAAAGGTGCATCCAAAGATTTCCCCATCAGCCAGACTTCCTGGAGCTGCAGGCATGGCTGGGATGGAGACTGACTCACTTCTGGGTCCCTCTCCCACTGAGCAGAGAGGTCAGTATACCTGCTGTCAGAGGCACAGAACTAAGCAGGAGAAAGAGTAAAGTTAACTAAGTTGGGGAACGGATGCAACATCAGATCAAAATAGAGCAGTATGTGGCTCCAGGCTGGAGAAAAAGAAGTGAGAGGAAGAATAAAAAAAGCCCCAGATTACAGGCAGAGGCTGGTCTAGTGTTGGGAGAAAGAAAGAGAACATAAGGAAAAACCTCAAAAAAAAGAGTATAAGAAAAGTCTCTGGATGTCAAGCATCCTCCCCCTCAGTTCCACCAGTGTAACCCCAGGGACATCTGCTCTCAGTTTCTTCAATATAAGAAAGTTTTTCAAAATCCCTCAGTCAGAAAGGATAGCGCACAAGTGAATTACTGTTTTACCAGAGGGATAGAAACTGGCAGTACAAGCTCTTGTTTATCTTACATTATTCCCTGAAAGAGCAAGTAACTGCTGAGAAGTTTTACAACCACTATTGTTTCACAACTATTTGATAACTGCACCTTTGCTGTAGGCAAAGCCTATAGTACACCCTCTCGTTTTCCTTCCATCATTCAAGTTCACAGACCTTTCTCTTCATCAAAGTCTTATGTTTGGAGTTACATGAGCTGTTTGGAGATGGGGGGGGTAAGAGAAATCCCTTGATCCACAAAACTAAGAGACTGATTCCACAGAAGTTCCCTCCTGTAATAGCTGCACTGGAGGGTTCCCAAAAGCCTTGTGCCACTATATATTTAAAGGGAAAATCAAAAACCTGCTTAAATAAATCCTCCCACTGCAATACAGAGGTCAAATGTAACATCATTATGCTTTCAACTTCTATTGGCTTCAAAGTAGGCAGATGAAACCCTGTCCTGACAGAATTCTACACCCAAGGCAGAGCTGAGAGCCCAGAGCCAGGCCAAGTGGTTACAGAGGTAGCCATCTCCCCCACTGCAGCCCAGCTGGCTGTGCAAATTCTCTTCTTCCTAAAATAATCTCCTGCCAATTCACATGTAAGCGGGCTTTAAACAAACCCCCTCATGTAGGCACTGCCCGAATTCAGAGCACCAGGCAGTCGCTTCCCCAGCCAGCAGAACATCAGCGCTAGGCCACTGAAATGAGTCACTCAGCTTGGCACAAGCCATTCCATTCCAACAGGAATGCAAAGCATCGCTGCTCTGAGTTATTTCCTTCTTCACACCAGCACGACTCTGCCTTGAGAAATCCATCTTAGGTTTCCACGGAGTGATTAAGTGAACAGTGGAAGCAATGAAACAGCACATGAACTTTTCAACCAGAGTTAGATGGGGGAATACATTTTAGCTGCAGACACAATTATTCTCAACTACTATATATGTTAAAATACCAGCACTCAAACCAAACTCCACAGACACCACTAGGGAAGGCATAGCTGTAATGTAGGACTATTGTTTCTGCAGACATTTGAGAGTACTGAAAGTTTGAGTTGTTTCAGCACACAGTAATAATGATAAGTTTTATTACATACTGCAATCTGTGACTGCTGTAGTCAAGTCATGGTTGCCTTCAATGCACCCCTATCCCTTCCAACCAACTTTTGCAGGCCATTAGCTACATATCATTGCCCCAGACTCAACAGAGTCCAACAGCAAACCTGTCAAACTCTCCTTTTACACCTACAAAACACTTATGCAGACAGGAAGAAGACAGACGTAGGCAGATGGCGCAAGCAGAAGTAGTGAACAAGCAGAAGTAGTGAACAGAAAACAGCACCCACAGGTGCCAAGAGTGGCATCCAAGAGCTCAGGGTACATTCACAGATGCAAAGATCCACGCAGGTCTGCTGATCTTTGTTAAGACGATGTAACACAAAAGACAATCACGGAATCATTAAGGTTGAAAAAGACCCTAAGATCATCAAGTCCGAGCATTAACTCAGCACCATGGTGTTAACCACCAAATGCCACTCTCAAGTGCCACATCTATATGCCTTGGAAATTGTGAAGTTTATTCCTAAACTACAGGCATAAACTGTAGTACAGGCACAGCCTCCTGAGACATTCACCTTGCAGAGTGGGACCCAAAAGTAGGTAGGACATTCTGACCCTACTCTAGCACATACACAAGCAGAAAAAAAGAGAGAACAAAGACCCTCTATGTATGCAATTTTTCCTTCCACTTAACCACATCATTTCAAACCTGCTGCTCCATGCTGAACTCTAGGTTTCCATCAAGCTGCTTGTGTTCTCTTTGCATTCTTTAGCAAGACAGACAGATGACTGATTGCTAAAACAGAAAGCAATTAAAAAGTCAGAAAGGCTGAAACCTACGCTACAGTAGATGCCATACAGATAACTACGTCCAATGCATACTAATTGCAGGAGTCAACATGAAAACTCATAAAAGAGACATCTATAATTCATGCAGTCTGGCAAGAGAGTAGCTGTAAGTTACTCACTACAACTTACAGAAGAATAAACTATATTAAACAAGACAGGGAGGAGGAAGATGCTCAGCAACTGCTCTTTCCTCTCTGCCTACTACCAGAAGGAAATCTCCCATTTTTCCAAGACACTAGTATTCTGTTGTTGGCAGGGTGAGGAAAGAGTGTCTTGCTCACAAACAAAAGAAAAAGAGAGA